TGGATCTGGATGATCTTTAAGGTCCCTTTCAACCCAAACTATTCTGTGATTAACAAGACACAGCAAAGCCAGGCAGCACGAGATGTGTAGTTCTGCTGAGAAACGGGGAGTGTATTTAGTGGATAAAGAAATCATTCTCTGCTTTTGATTTCTGACTTGCTGAGTATTAGGAAGCTAGGAAAACAAACATAAATGGGAGAAAATATGAGTAAGGCAGAAGAATACTGATCCATAATTTTTAATATGGAAGCATAAATGCTTTAGTGGCAAATCACAGTATCATGATTATACTCTGCCAAAGGAGGTGCCTTTCTAAGGTAGTTCAGGCCAGATGAAAATAATGACCAAGAATTTTTCTAAATCAGAATATAAATGTTTGTAAGGTCCATACCTACAAAGTCTTTCACTTTATAGAGTACAGATATTTAAAACTTCAGCTGAAGTGACATGAGATTTTAGGTAATATTTGGCAGATTGATAATGTCGTATAATTTTATTTTTGGAAAATTAACAAGTTACAGAGTCGTTGTACTGAGTAAAACACAAGGAAAACAGTAAAAAATGTAGTCTGCTTATTGAGAAAATGCATGTTTATTGTGTAAACCACTCGTCTTATGCATTGTTTATTAAAGTAATGACATCATAATCTCTTCAATAGATGCTTGACTCTGAGAGAAAGTTAAAATCCCAGCCAGCATGTTTAGTTGCCTAAACAATGCAGGCAACATATTAGTAAAAGCACACATGGTCTGTTGGAGATGGGGTGGAGAGTGAGGGAAGAACAACCAAACACTAAACCTGCAAACATTCTCTCTCTTTTTCCATTTCTCTTTCTTCCCAGAATGTTACACAGCAAATGGGGCTGACTATCGTGGCACTCAGAACCAGACTTCCCAATATGCAGGGAAACCTTGTCTTTTTTGGAATGAGACCTTTGAGCATCCTTATAATACTGTGAAATATCCCAATGGGGAGGGAGGGCTTGGAGAGCATAACTACTGCAGGTAAGAAATATCACATTGCTACTGACTTTGCCTGTACACCCAATGTTACTTCGAGTCGTTAACACAAAATTAGGAGACTTCCTGTCATGCAGTGAGGAATGTCATAACCATGGATATCTAACAGGCTTTGGTTTTTTCTGTAATCAGCACCCAGGATCTACAAGCACCATTAGGAGAATTACTTTTCCAACCCAGCTTGCACACTTTTTCAGCGCAGTCCTTCCCATGTGTCCAGTCTATAATTTGGCATGACAGAGACTACAGATTACTTAAATGAAAAGGTGAAGATAGTAAAAAAATCGATCCAAATCAGAAATACAGCAGCATGGTGAATGTCTGGAGGAGTCTCTGGGACGTTATGGTTTTTATCCTCACACACAAGCCTGGTTCTGTTACACACTCTGTTTCCAAGTTTTGTGCCTATGGAAGTTATGTAGCCACTAAAAATTCAAAGTGAGCATAAGCTATTCAGTGAGTTGGAATTGTTATTTGAATTCAGAAGCTCAACTGTCAGGAGTTACAATACCAGCCTAAACGATGGCAGATCCACTTCTCTTTCTTTGCCTTCTAGAGAAGTCCCCCATAACTATGGATAGAACTTAGAACAAAACTTAAAGAACCTCAGAATTTAGGAGCCAAATCGGAACTGAAGTTCCAAGATGTTTATGCTCTGCAGGCCCTTCTCAGCCTGTGACATTTACATGCACTTCAGCCTTTGCAGGACTGATCAGCTGAGTTTCTCTGTGAATCCATGCTAGGTAGAGAACAACCTGATGATACTATATTGCTTAAACAGCAATAATAGCTATAATAATCAGCTTTTGTAGGATGCATATAAAGTTGAGTGGTGTCTCTTTCTCACTGGGAATTGGAGACAGAGATGTTTAAACCAGGAGATGAAGAACTGAGTTATCTGAGACATAGCAAGAAAAACCTCTAATGTCTCCTTTGTGAGAAGGTTCAAACCACACCTCTGTTCTCCTGAAAGATGCTTTTACTTAGCAGGTTATAGGCTTTCTAGGGTAGAGACTATACACTGCCTACATTCATGCTGAAATCATTTCACTGTAAGTAATATAAAGCTCCATAAATGGGATAAAAATTAACATGCAGGAGTTCAGCAGAATTGTTGTATCATGAATGTAAGTTCCTGGTTCTTGATCCAAGAACTTTTCCTTATTTAATCAGAAAGTAGATTCAAGAAAATATGGCAGAGCCAGAGCCAGACAGAGAGTAAGTAAGAAATAGAGAGTAAGTAAGAAATCACAGAGAAGAGATCTTGTGACGTGCAGCAGACAAGACCACATTGATGAAAGGAGTCAGTGAGTATTTCATGATTCAGGAGGAATATTGGTGTAGGACAGGGAAGAAAAAGACATACTTGGGATCTTTTCCAGTGGATGCAGCACTGCTACAAAGTAACACCTCAGTGTGTTGCACCAGTGTACTCTCTTTTCAGCCACAGATGAGAAAGCATTATTGCCAGCCTCAGAGCTGACTCTTTTTTGAATCAGTTCAGCACCTTACAGGAGCAAAACAAAATACACTACCTACAAGGGAAGCTCTGTAGGAGTTGGGCATTCTCTTTAAAAACTGGTCTGGAAACCAGACAGATATCAAGCTGTCTAGTACCAGATTGGCATGTGAGCACTGGAAGGACTGTCTTCCCATTAAAAAGCTCACAGGCTCCCTCAGCACAGCAGCACCAAATCTGTAAGGATTTTCACATAGAGCTGTGTGTCTCAGCAAGGGTACTAATATGGAGCTGTGAAAATCTAGTGGCCACTGAGTTTCCTGTGATACAAATAGAATGAAGAAGGTAATTCTGATTGTTGCTATGTGGCAATATTCTAGACAGACAGGATCTTACTTTTGGCAGCCAACTTGGGCTAATGCTTCAGTTCATACAAAGAAAAACAGGTTGTATGAGCTGTGCAAAAACATGCATAACAATCTGAATGTTTTCTCAGATATTCAAGAAACTCTTGCTAGAGTCCTGCTTTACTTAGCAAATGAGAATTTGGTAAGTGTTCTTGCTCCAGAAGTCTATAATCGGATATATAAACCTGAGAAATTACTTAATTACCAAGTACAGCTTTTTGACCTCAATCTGCTAGGTGTTAGATTATCCTCTTTGGGATGGAGTTTGACTGGAAGGTTAGCTATTTCCTTCCTTAAGCTGTATCACTTGGCCTGGGAATATTCTGGAATAACAATCCTAACTAATGGATGACTTTTAACTTCGAATTGTCTTGTAAGAAAGCTTGGAAAGTCACTAAGAGGGCCCAGAGCATATCTTTAGCATGCAAATGTTGCTGAGGCCAGTAATACAGCTGTTTCAGCTCTTTCTCTGATATTAATTTGCTTGGTGACAATTAACAAGTCGATCTTCCCTTCTCTGAGGCAGCACATATCTCAGAAGGCTTTTTAAAGGCATAATATATTGCTTTGGGATTTGATTTTAGGGACAACGTTGGAATCATCTAATTTTACACTTAAAGCATTAATCAGAAGCACGTTACCTCTCCATGGGAGGTCCTTACTTGGAATACTTTGTTTACTGCAAAACACCCTGTTAAGATGGAAGTGCCTCATAATGTTCCACTAAACCTCATTTCAACCATAACAAAATTATGAAGGCTGAAAGACAGACACTTGTTTTCTAACTGTGTGCACTTCTGAGGTTCAAGACAAAGATTTCTAAAGACGTTAATCATGTTTCTCTACAATTTCCTCACATTTTAAGGCATTTATATGAAGAGTGTCATTATCATGATTCAATTCCAAACATATGGTTTCTGTCACAAAGATGTAAATGCAAAAATTTCTGTAACTGTGAAAACAAGGGAAAATGTGTTAATTTGAGTACAAGTTTTCTCTTGGTTTTAGTCTTCTACTTTCTTCAGCTACTGGAAGCTCTGCCATTACACCTAAATTCCTAGCATGCCAGTCTTAGGCTTTCCCTGTTCAGTACCTTTACTAATCTTTTTGAAAGCCTAACCAGCAACATTTTAGTCATCCAAATTAAACTCAACTCACCAGTTGTCTTCAGCAGTCTGTTACTTGACAAAAAAAATCCCCAGTATTTCTAAAATTGGATCTCCCACAAAAGAGTTGTTAATACACATAAATGACAACATGCAGCTGAACTGACACTTCAGTAGGGGGGTGTAATTAATAGAATTCATGCCAAAATTAATCATAAAGAGATTATAACTGGTCATACTTTCAACCTGACTGTGCAAAGTAACAGTTTATTCCCTTTAATAGATCTTTTCAATGTGTACATAGAAATGACTTCAAATAATATAATGACTAATTAGGTATGAATTGTAAATGATGCTACACAACAGCAAATAATTATAATGGTAATATCATCATCATCAGGGACACATAAGGAATTACCCACCCATATTGAGAGGTCACTGGAACAGCTTTACTCACTTTTACTGAAGGGAAAGAACTCAGTCTTTCCCTAAAGAAGACTTTATCAGCTAAATGTTTTTATCACCATACATTCAGAAAGTTGGAGTCTGAACTATTTTATACCAAGGCAAAAAATCAAGTTTAGGAGCCTGTGGAACCTGTACACAGGACGTGGGACTGAAAGTCTTTACCAGCACTTATGAGAAATAACTCTGCACCTTTTAAACTTAGAGTAAAAAGATGTTACATTTTAGACATTATGGGCATCTTATGCATGATATGTACTATAATAAGCAAAGTTACCTAAACTTCCTGACCACTTTTGCATTTTTCTGGGTATATAAGTCCAATGGGAGGTATTAGAGCAAAAATAGTGATGCCATTGAAGCTTAAGAAGATTGACTTTTATGTGGTTTTTGAAAAAAAAAATTGATGACCTTCACTCACTCACTTGATTTTTCTCTTTCAGAAATCCTGATGGAGATGTCAGCCCTTGGTGCTACATTGCAGAACACGAGGATGGAATATACTGGAAATACTGTGAGATTCCATCCTGCCGAAGTAAGAGCACCGTGTGATGTTTTTAGGCCTTTGTTGAACAGGGATTGGCAGTTACACAGCAGTGGGTAGAGAGTTTCAAACAGAAACTAGGATAAGGCAAATCATCTTATTTTCATTTACAGACTAAGCTATATTTTAAATGGTTTTTAGAGTTAAGGACTAGCTCACTAAATTGTTCCTCCACTGCCATCCTTTTCATCTTATCTCAGAGTTACTGGATTATATTATTAACAAATAATTCTGTGTGACAGAGAATCACACAAAGCTTATGAAGTACTGCTAGTTCTCTGAATGCACAGAAATGCGGATATGAATAGGAAAAATTCTTACAAGGTACATTTGTGTCCACCATTTGCTTGTAAAATGAATTGTATTAGTTTAATGTGATAGTGCATCATACACACAACTGCTTGGAAGCAACAAGACACAGCGTGAGAGGACACAGGGAAAAGGTGATTATTTGGTGGTTATGGGAGCTCTGGGCTAGAATTCTGTCTCTGGCAGGTGCATGTACTTAGCATTGCTGTGAAACCACAACCTGGGCTTTGTTTGATTTTTTTTTTTCTTCAATCAGATAATTCACAAGCTACTCACCTGAAGCTTCCTTCCAGTGTTCAATACTTTTAATATATTGCATTTTTTACCTTGTCTAAAATGTCATGATTTGTGTCGACATGTTCCAAAGTTTTCTTTCCCAGCATAAATTTTCTGCTCCAGCATAAGCTCCTAAGAATCACATTCTTAAAATATGCTTGAATATTAAAAAGAGTTTCTAGTTTTACATATTAACAAGCAACACATTTTATTTAGTCTGATCATTAGTGCCTTCACTTGCTTTCCTTACTTCTGTGCAAGGACTCTCTGATTCTAAGGGGTAATTCAGGGGTACACTCTTAAGCATCAGAGCAATTGTCCTTACATAGAAATACTATCAATTGGAAGAAGTATGGTTCTTAGTTGAAGTTAAGAAGAAAAAAAAAACAAGCAAAGAAAAATGTGATTTTTTTTATAGTGATTTTTTTACTTTGTTCATAGATATTTGTGGGTTTTTTTTATGAACATGAGTGAGTGAGTCACATCCTCAAACTAGGCAAACAAATACATAAGTGTGCCCTTAAGTCAGATGACTTTTACCTAGACTTAAATACAAATTAAAGGGTCTAATTTAAATAACACAAAATAATTCAACACTCCAATAGTCATTGATTAGAGGACATCTTACTCTTATTTTTCTAATATACCAGGTCTGATTTGGGAAACCTGACCCTCCTAATTAAGAAATTTATCTTAGTCTAAAATGAAAGAATTTGCATTTTCTTTAAAGACCACAGATGTTAACAAATTATCTGGATACGGCACCAGGAAAAAAGCTGAAAGGCAAATTCTCTCCACTCCATTTGTTCTACACAAAGGATCCTTTTAAAACCAGCCTCACTCATTTTCTCTGTGGTGGGGAGCAGAGGATTTAGACTTGGACACTTACTCGCACAGATAATCCAGACTTATATTTACAAAATGTCCTTTTGACCAGTAGCAGCTGCTTCAAGAATTGCACTGAAACTCAATACTAGTAAAAGGAATTGCAGCAATTTAGAGCAAACTGTACATTGCAAGCCCATCCAAATCTTAATACAAACCTCATGGTTTACTGTGTAAGTAAAAAAATCTTTTATTCTTCACCAGATTTTCTGTTCTCAGTGAGCACGTTGCTAAATCACAGGACCATCACAACTGCCTTGAGTAGTACACAATACAAAACTGAGCTTTGTGACGGAGCAAGAAGGCAGTCCTGTAAAGAAATCCTGTCTGAAAATTTTGAGAGGAGTATAAGCTTCCTTTCCATAATCATATTTACTGCTAGAAAAGACAAGTATCTGGAGCATAAGTTACCTATTAACTATACCCACATAACACCACGACAATGCCAACAACATGAAGCGTCTTGATTGCCTGGAGAGATTTGCATGCAATGATTCACTGTAACAATAATTAAGAATCTACAGTTAAGAATTTTGCATTATGGTGATGATTTCACATGATTATATCGTGTCTCATCCACTAATATTTATACGTAACACTAAACGTTTCAGTCAGAGGCGCGTTCTGGCGCTCTGCGTGTGCAGACACGCTGTGCAGAAATTAGCCATGTTGGATAAAGATGGATGAGCATAATCACAGAAGACAGCAGTAGTTACCCCAGTAGGAGCTTAGTCTTTCCTTTTCTTCCTCTCTTCTTCTTAATGTCTTGTCTGCTAAGCAGACTGGAATGAACAAAACCAAAATAAAAGTCAAGGCAGCAGCTCCGAGTCCTGAGAGAACATGTGCATCTCACGTGGAGAATTCAGACTGAATGTTTCAGATGGTTTGTTTGCAATGTTGCAGCTACTCCTGACTTTCTTGGTCTCCTTGTTAATGAGGTTAGGTTTAAACACAAAGGAAATAACAACTTAAATGCTCCCAAAATGTAAAAGAAAGAAAGGCTTAGTATCCCACTTAGTTGCATCTCCACGTTTATGACCTGTGTGACTCTTCCCATAAACAGACTTCATTGCTGGAGTCGTTTTTCCAGTGTGCACGTGTGTGATGTAATAAATTTGACTGAGACATCGATGAGGTGTTAAATGGCAGAGCCAGGCCCACTCTGCAAGACTGACCTGTCTACATTTTAACACAAGAACAGAGAGCTCAAACACTTTGAGACATTGTACTGGTGCATACTACCATGGCAAAAAGGTAGGAGGCTTTTGAAAGACAACTAGATGAGCATGGCTGGAACATGGTTTTGAGCTCAAAATGATTGATTCCATGTTTTAATACATGTGCCTTGGCATGTAAAACACAGAAGCTGTGGGTTTTGCCAGGACCTCATTATGTCAGATACTGCTTAAAAAAACAGTATGTCTGTACAAAAGAGGTGAGCTCTTAATCACAAGAGAACAAATAAATACAAACAGGTGAAGACAATTGTCAGCATGAACAGTAATTGCAGAACACTACCTCATTCTTTGCCAAGTTTCTTTAGTAGGCTAAATATTAAGAGCAAAGAAAATTAAAATACTGCTGGGACACCAAAGAGACTAATTAGTTTTAGGATGTATGCTTGATTTAATTACAAAATCTAAGAGGTTTTCAAATTACTCAGATTTCTTAGCATGGAACATCTTGAAGTACTAATGCTCTGGAGATCAGGTTGAAGAGTCTCACCAAAAAAGCTACTTCAAAAAATTTTTTAAAAATTACAAAATCCCAGGTCTCTTAAGGAAAATGAGCTAGGGTGGTTAACTAGGACGCTTTCTCAGAGCAGTGAAATTGTGTACAGTACCAAAAAAATGAGCTCTCTGAGATTTATCTGCCCAGCTGTACTCAGCTGGGGTGGGGCTGCAAATGGGGATTTCAAAGGTATGTTAGATCAGGCTGTAACTTGAAGTCTCAGTACTTATATGCATTTTGCTGCAGGGCATATCAAAGCCATAACTCCATGCAGGTATTTATAATTGAAACTGTATCAGTCTTAGAAAATTACAAACAGTATTTGAAGCATCGTGATGTTTACTGGGTACTGAAATAAAAAAGGACTGAATAAATAAAACTCTAATACAGCTCTCTGAGCACATCACATGACACGCAGAGCTGTGGCAGTGAGGTGGACAAAAAAGAATCCTTGTCAATCTGGCACAGGGATAAAACACCATAGAACTGGGAATAGATTTAATTTCAAGTATCTGAGCAGATATGACAAGTAGGCAAGGGATATTTTTATGCCATTAGCCCAGCATTATATTGTACTCCACATCCTCTCCGTGGGGTGGTCGTGGCTAAATTCCAGTGCTTTGATGAAAAGTGCAAAACCAAACCAAAACACAAACAGGACACATTGTGCACTGGAGGGGGAAAACTGAGCTCCCTTGGTGACCAAGGAGCCTTGAAACATTATATTAATGTAAATAGATGTAAAAATAGGCGTTTTTAAAGTGATATTGCTAATTTTAAATTTCTTTGTATGATACTTTAAATTCACCTCAGAATTCAAGTTTTAAATATTAGGAAGTTCCCCTGTATAACTACATAGTCCCTCCCATAAAATTTGCCAAATTCCATCTTAAAACAGTTTAGGTTCCCTTCCTCAAATATCCTGTTTTGAAAATTTCCAGGATGTTATTGTTTTGAAGGTCAGACAGAAATCACATCGTTTAATTTACATTGTTAGAATATGCATGCTTATAGTAAAAAAACCCACAAACCCTCTGAAACTACTTAATGCCATTCTTTTTTTTTTAACTGCCTCTGTCAGGAGAAATGAACCAGGTATTTATCTTGTCTATTTTACTGCAGCTTACTGAAACCAACCAGAGAGTATTACAGGTGTATTGCTAAGAAGATCTGATACTCTTTGCCCCTTCATTTATCCCTGTGCATGTCTGGAAAATATGACAAGGCTCTAGCACAGAGTAACATTTCCCATCCTGCAGGACATGCTGCTTAGTGATCAGGTAGTGCATGAAGTGGTCTGTGTTTTGGATGTTTCCAGGCACACTTTTGGAATGACTGTTGTTTGTTGCTCTTGCCAGTGCCAGGGAATCTAGGGTGTTACAAGGACCATGGAGAGCCACCCCCTCTGACTGGCACCAGTGAGACCTCCAATAAACTTACTATCCAAACGTGCATCAGTTCCTGCCGAAGCCAACAATTTAAGGTGATCTCTTTGATGTACATTTACAAAATGTTTTCAAAGACTACAGTATGCCTAGAGCTCTCTCTCATATTTCTCCTGTTCCCCCCCTTTTTTTTTTTTTAATCTTTAGGAGGTCCAAGGTCTCACTTCCAATCCAGGAGATCTATATCCCTCTCTCTGCATCCAGAGCAATCTGGACAAATGCCAGGATGCCAGAAGAAAGTACGCTTGCTTACTGCAGTTATGAGTGACAGAGTGCCCCAACTGCCCTCCATTCCATCTTTCTCACTAGGCTTAAGTAGCATCCTGAGAGCTCAAACAGAAGCAGTTTGTGGTGGTTCCTCTGACTAATCATACTCCAAAACATACATATTCTGCTGCCAGCTTTCTTGCTCATACAACCTCCCGCTGTCTCTCCTTCAAGTATTATTCCTCCCTTCCTTATGCATCTTTGTTGTCAAAGTTTGCAGGCATGGAATCAGGTTATGCTTGTTTCTGTGGAAATAACCCTGACTACTGGAGATACGGGGAGGCAGCCAGCACGGAATGCAACAGTGTTTGCTTTGGAGACCATACTCAGCCTTGCGGTGGGGACGGCAGAGTCATTCTTTTTGACAGTAAGTATTGAAGCAGGCTCAGTTTTTCCCAAAGGAGAGGCCTCAAATGTTCAGCAAATTAGGGAAAAGGATCTAAGTACAATGAGAACTGTTGCACACAAAACAGCAAAACACCTAAATTCAGTATAAAATGAAGCTGCTTTGCATTTCTGTATAAGATTCTCCACCACTAATAATGTGAAATAGCTCTTCCAAGAAATTGTGCCAGCTCGTGCTCTGGAGATTGTCTCTTACTTCCTCACAAGTGGTAAAAGACCACTGCTATCAGAAACAGCATGTCACAACAGAAAGACACCTTAAGAATTGATCTTACTAGAGAGTAAATATAGGAATGAGGCACCCCAAATAAAATTGAATATACAACAACTGCTACGATGCAGTTAACACAATGTAGGTGGGACTGACAGAGAAATATACTGTGAAAGTAGAATCAGGTTAGGTTGCTGTTATGACCATTGCTGATTTCATAATGTCTTATACGTAGAAATCCTCCTTTCTACTCTTCAGTATGTGTACCAGTGCCAGCTGTGTAACTTCAGAGGTAGATGGTGTGAGTCACTGGTTGTCCAGCTGCAATATAAGCTCCCAGTACTGAAAAACCTCAGCATATGCACCAATATATCATTGCTTCTCAATCTCAACTGCCTTTGATGTAGAAGTTACCTTCTGAGTTACAGACTTTCTGAAACAAAGTGGCATCATATTCCACCTTCTGATCACACAAACAAACTTCCCATCTCCCAACTTTACAAGTCAGGTTCCCAGTTCCAGACAGAAAGACATTTCAGCAGGACAGAAATTAGTCACTCTGCTCACTTCCAAATTCTCCCCAAGATATGAAAAGATGAACCAGACTTGCATGTTACTTCCAGTGCTGAGATAGCACATATGTTCACATTGCAGCATCCTCTGTTTCCTTCTGCTCTTGGCCTATCAAATCCTCAATGGGTAAAGTCTTCCTTTTTAGCTTTGCTTTTCTAGAGTGACCGAGTGCTCAGCAAAATGTTACCCTGAGGACCTGCAGTGTCTTTTCTGGTAAACAGCAAGGTTTACCTGAAAGCTGTGGCCAGGTAAGAGAGGTCATCCTAGCAGCAGCTACCTGTTTTCTTTCCCTGATGAGCAACACCTGCTCACCTCATGTCTCTGTTTCAGATTATGTCATACCCCTAGAACCTCCACCACAATCCTTGTACACACACACACTTCCCCCTCGCCCCATTATCCGTATGTTTATGTGTTACTATCACAGTCTAATGCGGTAACATTCAGACCCACAACACAGAACTCTGCCAGCTCGAGAAGGAAATGAGAGAGGGAAAGCATTTCCATTCCATATGGGGCAGTGCTGTGCTTTGGTAGGCATCTGTGGAGCACTAGTCATTGGCACTCTTAGTTAATATTGCTGGCTTGAAAAACATCTTGTGATTCAGTAATTACAAACAGCACAGTCAAATGTAACAATATCTGTAAGCCATTTTCAAAGGTTGTATCTCGGTGACACATTTCAGTTCTATCTGTTCCATCTATTTGAACAATTCTACCTATTGGATTAAATCACCAGCTGTGTCAGTGTGGAGTAAGCGTGAAACAGAAATTATAAGATCTTTCATAGTGAAATTATAAGGTCTTTCATAGTGCACACTCAATACAAGGTTGGCTAAGGCTATGATCAGGCCCTGCTCCAGAAAAAGAAATATTTTCATGTGTTCTTCTGGCAGACATATGCTACTTCTTGTTCCCTGAGTTTCCTTTTAATTTGTACTTATTAAAGCTTTTTCTCAGAGGCCTGTGAAAACTGAGACACTTAAAAACACTTTCTTTACTTCCATTCTCACAGACCTCTCTTACAGGGCTTTAATCAAGCTTTCAGAGACAATAATTCTACTTTGAGTCTTAAGTCTTTCAGCTATAATACAGGGGAATGATAACTCTGATCCAAACAGCTTTGACATAAAATAACTTATTTTATAATATATATAATATTTTATATTTAGGGGTATATGTACAAATACATATATATGCATATATACCTCTCTATAATATCTTAAAATTATATGTGTATATATAAATATGCATCCTCAGTTGTCTGGCATTTGAGTTGCTCTCTGGATTAACTGGTAATTAACTTTGCACTGGGAATCTGGATAGTTGTCAAGGAATATAACAATTTATTGGGCATGTACTTATTTCTAATATAAAAGGTAGCAACAAATCCTTTCTTTAAACTTTGTAACAGGATCTTTTTCAATTTACTTAGTGAAAGTAAGGTCAAATATTAGTTGGACGAGATCAAAAGACAGGAGGCTTGAAAAGCACATATATATGGCAAGAGGGGTGATTAAGGGATTACAGCATCATTGACACAAGGAGAGGCTGAGAGAACTTGGGTTGTTCAGCTGTGATAAAAGAAGGCCCAGGGGAACCTTTTCAATTTGTATAACTAACTGATGGGAGGGTGTAAAGATGAAGGCAGCCTCTCCTCAGTGCTATCTAGTGAATAGACAAGAGTCAACAGGCACAAACTGAAATACAGGAAAATCCATTTCAACAAAAGGAAAAGCTTTTTTTATGGTGAGGGTGACATGGGAACAAGTTGCCCAGAGAGGCTGTAGAGTTTCCATCCTTGGAGGCTCAAAATACAACTAGACACTGTCTCCTGCTTTGAGCAGGGGGATTTGAGTGGACAATCTTCAGGGTCCCTTCCAAACTCACTTGTTCTGTGAATATGTGTGTTTTCAATTTGATACAGCCGTGAAGGAGTTTTGGTACTTCAACAGTGAGAGTTAATAGTCACTAATCCACTCGCCTCCCTGCCTGATAGGGACAGAGCAGAAGCCCCTGAATCAGTGATTTATCTTTTATCCTGTTCCTGCGGGGATGTGGGAAAGGGTCCATGGTTACATACAAGGACAGAGGATAGCTGCAGTATTCCAGATTGGTGCCCAGGTCTGAGTAATGAGAATGAGAGCAAATGCAGTGTCACAGCCGCGCTCCCCGTGCCGTGGAAGGTACAGAACCCCAGTCTCAGAGACAGCACATCCTGCTGGCAGAGCAAGCCTGTACCTTCGAGCCACGTTCAAGTCTTAGAATCTACAGGGTGCTAAAGTTTTGCAAAATTAATGTATAATCTTTTTTTTTTTCACTTTCTCCCTCTTCTCGTGTTTTCACAGCCCTTATTGGTGCCTGTGGAGGGAATTACACTTCTGCTACAGCTGTGATCTACTCCCCAGATTTTCCTGACACGTACGGCACAGGCAAAGTCTGTTACTGGACCATACAAGTTCCAGGGGCGTCTCGAATCCACTTCAGCTTTGCCCTCTTTGAAATCAAAGATGCTACAGATATGGTGGAATTGCTGGATGGCTATACCTATCATGTGCTGGCTCGTTTTAATGGCAAGAACCGTCCTCCCCACACCTTTAACATCTCTCTGGATTTTGTCATTTTGTACTTTTTCTCAGATGACATCAATCAAGCCCAGGGATTTGCTATCAGATATAGAGGTAAGAGGCTAACTTTCCTGTTTCTGCCTTTCAAGGAAGCATTTAATTCACAGGTTTCTGAAGTGGCAACAAAAGAGCAAATATTTTAAGTCTCACCTAGCAGGTGTTTTATCTCACTTGTTGCACAGTGGATAAAAGCTTTGCCAAAATTTCTCTCAATTTGGAACACTCCAGTCAGCTGTGCCATAAATAGCAAAATTCAGATTTTCAAAAATTCAATCCTATACCTGCCTATCAAAACAGATTGGAAAATGACAAAGCTGAAACAAATTAAAAAAATAATACTCCATCTGCATCTTGGCTCCTTCCAACAGTCTATTCCACTCTGATCAAAAGTCATCAGGGGAAAACATTTTGGTCCTTGAGTTGTGCCTACTGCTGTGATGAAAAATGAGCTTCCAAAAAAATTCTGAGAACCCCAACCTAGTGAAGTACAGGCTTTTTTGGGAATCAGACATAATTTGATTATTTGAGTTCTCTTAGGTAAACCAGAGAGCAGCACTTCTGTTTACAAGCACAAAATAAAATCCAATTACACCTGTTAAGAAGTTGTTATTTTAATCATACCCTTGTGTTTTCAGCTGTGAAGGACAATGTGCATCAAAACAAGACTCCAGTGAATCACACCCTTCCAGAGAGGATAAATGAACAAGCAAATCTCAGCATCAATGCAGCTCGGTCATCAAAGATACTTTATGTCATCACAACCAGCCCAAGTCATCCTACTAGCTCCATGCCAGGTGATATTACAGTAAAATGTGGAAACAGGAAAATCATTTTGCCAGGGCACAATCTGGAGTCACTATTTCCTTTGCTCCTCCTCCACGCTATCTGATTCACTGTGCATTTTGCTAATAGATGAATTTTCATGTAGTCTAATTAGCACTAACTGTGATTCTCTCCTTACATTTCAAAAATCAGCATAAATCAGCAACAGTGTGAAGATGGTGAGTTTTTTCTTGAGAAGCAAAACACATCAAAATAAAATGTGAGTCAGAGCAGCCTCCTCACGAGAAATCAGCTTCAGTGACCAGTGCATACTAGAGAGTGGCACAAGTCGCTGAAAAAACAGAGCAACCTTTTGTAGAGTCTAGAAAAGCCTGAATGCATCCCAGTTACCCCAGTTAACAAAAGCTTTGTCAGTAACACAAAGAGGGCTGGACAAGTTCGTGGGTGCAGGGGAGGTGCCACTGAGAACTGCCATGTGTCAGGAACTCAGTGTTACAATGTCACAATGGGTCCTGCTTGACTTGCTCCTACAGGCAGAACTAAATTGAACTGTAAAGTCCAATGGCCAAGAGCAGACCACAAATACTGATCACCTGTCTCAGGAAGACACCCCTCCCATTCCATACTTCGTGACTACTTACATAACTACATAATTACTGATGAAATCCTGGACCACCTCCTTGCAGTCATAAGAGTTCCTACTGGTTCTAGTTCTGCTTTAAATTTTCTTCTGATTAAGTTTTGGTTCCTTTCCTACATAATTTTACTGGTATATGCTTTGACTTTTGCCAACTTTCAATTTTATAGGGAGCAGTCCTGCAAGAGAAAAGCCAGTTCTGACTGAAAGTTGTACAGTTTCTGCCAGTCTCGTAGGTTTGAGGCATCTCCAAATTACAGTTTTGAATAAAGCATCAGAAGGCTGTGTGTTTCTTTTGTGCAACATTCTTACTTTAAAAACTGCAAGTAAATGAATGTACTAAGAACTTCCCTCCTTTCCCTTTCTTCTTCTCTTTTACAGAGTGGACCATTTACAGTCTCACAGCACTGCTCATCCTCAGTGTTACAGCCATAATAGCAAAGATAATTCTCCACGTTACCATGAGGTGAGTGTGGGGCAAAGCTGTCCCCAGAGAACCAAGATCTCAGCTCTGTACTAAACCTGGTGTCTTCTCTGCCTTCTGATAGTCAGACTGGTCATATTCAAAACCAAAACCAAGTTATTTATTACAGATTTGTATCCTCATAAAAGATACTATAAATAAGCACCTTTTTTAACTTCCCAGTCTGTTAGGATAGCGTTTGCTGCTACAATCTCTCTTCTGGTGTTGTGTTGACAAGATTTGTATTTTAAGGAAGAAAGAAGGAAAGAGGGAAATGTAATCAGACATCTAGATTTGGTGACAAGAGGTCCAATTATGATAGTACTTTGCAGGAAAAAAAATAAAACCTCATCCCAGATTGGGGAGCTGGGAAAAAAAGTTAGATATATGCTAGTTAATACTTAATTTCTTTTCCTGAAATATTGAAAATGGTTCATAAAAGACTCACAAAAATGAAAATCTGTGATTATAATGTGATACTTAATCAGATTTTTTTTGCTGAAGGTGCCCAAGCACCTTCATACATGACTGAATAAACCCTTGTCTCCTAGATCCCATCAGATTCCATCTGCAACTGAAACAGAAGATTGCAGTGATGTTACTACTGCTGGTGAGATCTGGAGTATATTTTACCAGCCATCCACATCAATATCCATCTTCAAGAAAAAGCTCCGGAATCAACAGGATGATTGCAACCCACTCGTGGGAGACTAAAGTGCCTTTTGTTTTACAAGAATTGATCTCCTTAAAACCCAGGTGACTTGAGATAATTCCTTTTTTTTTCTCCCAATCTCATACGTGTTTTCCAAAAAGTCCATTTCCAAAGACCTTTGAGTGACTTTGCCTATCTGCTGTTCCCTTGGGTATATCAGTGACAACGGATTTAACTGCAGCAATAGTTTGGAAGTATCTGGTGCTCATCAAATCTGTAGTGCTCTTAATTACTGCCTTTAAAGCATTGCACTTCAAGTATGCGTAAAAACTTGTAAATTTCGAAATGTCCTGTACCCCTGCCAGAGGTAACTGAGTATCTGCAGGTTAAGGAATTATTGTGTCCTGCTTTCCTGTACCACTGTATTTTATCGGGCTACTTTAGTCCTTTTATTCTCAAGGCTGAGGACAGAGGCAGGTTCAGATAACCTGTTTGGCTGCCACTGCAACCAGAGCTTATTGGCCTTAATGTACACATGTAAATGTAAATGGTACTACACAGTGCACTTGCCCAGTGTTCTGCTGTTTCTGCATTTTCTGTTTCTACAAGCAGAGATGCACAAACTAAAATCGAATTCAGGAGGTGCTCCGTCGAGTTTCAGCTGCAAATACACCTTTTGATGGAGTCCTGCTCACCAGGTCAAGGCCTGCCCGAGCAATGAAGCCTTTTAAATGACTGTGTCTGACCCATCATTCACTGATGTTTATGATAATTTTGTTCATATTCACAGTGATCCTTTAAAAAACTATTGTACTCCAGCCTGAAGTCCAGCATCCATTCTGGGTGGAAGCTTAGGGCTTCTTAAAGGATTGCCCAGAGATTCTGTAAATCCACTGAATTTTTAAACAGTGAAGCTGAGTAACAAATTTTTACTCGGAAGTTACAGATATTAATCTCAGCAGCCTAAAGTGGGATCAACAGTGAGTATTTCAGCCTCAGCAAGTTCAGAGCATCAAGACATTTAGGAAAAACTGTCAATGCAGAAGTCAGATAAATTGACTGGCAAAGTTTACTGAGTGAGCAGCTCCTCAAACTGTGTTTGAGGAAATTCACTGAGAACCATTAAACCGGCTAAGTTTAAACATATACCAACAGTCTGTGTATGTGAGACACACCCTCTGTGCAGTCAGAGAACATCTATTAAGAGCACCTACAAAAGGTAATTAAGAAAAGGAAGAAAATTGTCACCGAGTTCAAATTCATTACAGTATCTGCCCTTATGTTTTTTAACATATAATTCCCTCCCCTTTATGTGGGTTAGAGATTTCCTTGGAAAAACAGGGCATCTAAGAATTCAATGAAATATTGTGCCTTACTTGCCATTGTAGATCTAGTCTTTTACCTGAACTGAATTCAATCCAGCTCTATTTATGTACCACAGATGAGTGCCAGCAACAGCTGAACAATGCCACAATATGTGCTTAAAAGAAACAAGACCTTTACTAAGCCAGCAGTTATGAAACTGTTTATATCAAAAATGGAATATCATGAGAACATCTAGTACTTTCTTGCATGAGCTGCTGGAAAGAACACAGGAAACTATAATTATGGTATTACCTAAAATCAAGACGGGACGAGTTGTAAAAGATACACTGGTTCTCTCTTCCGTGCCTTCATGTTAGACCAGAAAACATCATCTGTCTTAGACCAACAAAAATTCTGAAATTGCCTTTTATAACAGTCAGGGTTTGCATCATGCTGCACAGAGAAAGAGTCCAACTCACGGATTCATAGCAGAATAAAGCAGGTTGGCTCCTCAGCGTGCTTAATATGGTGCACTAACAGAAAACCAGGAGAGAATTGCAGGGTGGTGCCCAGACCCTTAAGAGTTGTTAGGAGCACACAGAGCTTATCACAAACAGCTGAAGCTTTGTTTGCTTGCCTCATCAGATGTTCTCGAGCAGTTAAACATATAGAGTAAAAGAGACATTCATAAAGCAGTTAGCTACTGCTGATAAACTGAAAAAAACATCAGGAATGCCCCATGACTGATTTTTACCTATTGCAGGAGAAAATACAGAACTGCCAGGCTTCTCTTCCTTAGGAAAGAATTTAAGTTCACTGCAAAGTTGGAGACAAGCATTAAAATAACATCTAAGACTGAAGCCACGAATGGAAATTCTATAGAATTTAGAAAGAGATTTTTGCATCAGTCCCTTAGCTTCTCAACTGTTTTTTAAATATTAAAATCGCATTTCATGGGCCTTTCTTAGGGAATGGTTATCAAGTTTCTGTACAAAAGACCCATAAAACCAGCAGTTACAGCAGATTAACTGGTCATGGCAACAAAAAACATGACACTGCAGAAGGCATCGGACAGTGCATGGGTAACATACTGATAAAAGCTCAGAGGAAATTGTGAGGTCCCCGTTTCCGCCCCTAGATCTTTCAGATTATCTGATTCTAGATACCTCTGCTTGCAAACAGAGCAACAGATGGAAATGCATGGACAGGGGCCCTTAAATAGCACTTGTTACTGTACAGGCCTGAGACCATGAAGAGCAGGTAGATCTCTGCTGTGGATTCTTTCCAAATGCGGTTCAGGCACTCACACTCCTCGAACAAGCACTTCAGGGTGTGGTGGTACCTGGCCAAGATACATGGTATCCACTAACATAGCACTTTTTGATATTTGCTGTAAGGGTTTGGGGGGAGAGAGAAACAAAAAGCGTGACATGCACAAGTGTTGTAATCCCACATGATTCAGCCTGCCCCTACCGCACAAGCAGCTGAGTGCTGACAGCTGGGGAGCACGGACACCTCGGGAGGTTGGTGTTTACACCATTTTCTTCAGCAAAGTGAAAATAACTGCAGAAGAAGAATTCGTTTGGAATTGTAACTGAATGGCCTTCTGATGTCCTGCCTATCAGTTCCCTCCACAGGCTGGACAGGCTGCAAGTGTGACATTGGCTACAATGTCAAAAGCAACTGTTTTGACAACGAAATAATCCTGAGGAGATGCCTCCTCATATAAATGCATTCCAGCTGCAGCTCCGGCCCCTTCTCAGTGGTGTTGGTAGGACTGGCTGCGGTGCTGCAATAAACTGACAGGTCAAAAGTTGCCATCGGTTTTTCTTCTCTAGTTACTTTTCACAGAGATGAATTCTCTGAGGTTGTTTATTACAGGGTGGTTGCAGAGAGAGATGAGCTAACACAGCTAAGTGGACAATAAGCCATAGGAAAAAGACAATTGTCTGCCCCAGAAGCTGGGGCAGTGAGTGCTTCTGCTGGCACTGCCACTGCAGCAATCTGTGAGCCTGCGTGCCAGAGCCTACACTGTATGTGGACCTCAGGTGGAAAGGGGCCAGCTGGACAAGTGCCTTCCCTAATTCAAAATCTATGTTTAAAAGTAGTTTAGTTTGTTGACTAAATAATTTTATATGTATTTTTGTCTTAATGTTGCTGTGTTGTGGGGAAATAGAGACTGTGTTATGTAAAAATGTGTGATATGTTATCATAGTAATATATATATTTATATATGTATAGGAAATGCATTATTTAATACAGCATATTATGCTTGTACCTTGCTAACATTTTATAGGAAGAAAAGATGTTAGTTTACACTCTGGGAAAAATAAATTTTCTATACACTGTAACCATAGGAAAAAAATCAAAGATACTTCTTTGGTATCTATAACAGAAGGTCATTGAGAACAGGGTACCTCAGACCCAGTTCTATGGCCAAACAGATGATGATGAAACAACTGCTTTAAGAAGCACTTACCTCCTTTGAATCTCATTTCTAGCTTGTATTTGTATTAGGCTGTTCATCACATTCTGCAAATTCATATGCATATACTCACTCTCTGGACTATTTTTTTCCTTCAAACATATAATCTGCTTTTCCAAAGCACTAACATCGTCTTATTTAGAACCTGTTTCTGCCAGATTTTCTACAGCCAGTACAATGCTGAGGGACTTTATCACACTGCTCATGCAGACAACGCAGTGGGACTGCAGTTATGGTGTCTGTATTCCAAGCCCCCCTGGCAGGAGAATAAATGGGAGATTTTTATGGATAGCCCTGGAAGCTGAACTGAATGTGCAGCCTGTATGACTACAGACCAAACCCCTCAGCAGACACGTGGCTGCCACTGAATGAGCATGACTAGCTATTCCACTTTCATCTTCTGCTTAATGAGCCTTCTCAGGCAGTGGGAAGGACTACTAACAGATTTTTCTAGTGCACCGCTTTGCCTAAAGGAAGGGTGAACTACAAAAACAACTGACAAATACTTGTCCAACTAGTTCTTAATACCTTGCATCAATATTTCACAATCTTCCAATGAAATATAGTTCAGTGATAGTTTCACCTGAATGTTGTTCTAGGCATTTATGAACTTTGCTACTCATTTAGGAATTCTGCTACCTTGAGAGTGAAAAATAGAATCCTCTTCCGACCACACAATTTTTTCTGTAACACATTCCTGATACACATACATTTCATGCAGCTCATACCTTCTCAAATTTACTGAGCACCTGTGCTTTGGGATGAAACTTGGCATTCCGAATTTCAGTCTCAAGACAACTTACTACAAATGCAAAGGCACGAGCCACATAAGGCTGTCAAGAAACCAGAATAAATCAAACTTGAGATGACTCACCACTGAGATATGTGCTGTGTTTATAGCTGGTCACCCTGCATTCAACAAATGGCTGTAAATAATAATTATGGAAAAATAAATACATTTGAGCAGAAGTTCAGTTAGGATGGCTAAAGTGTATACAAGCATGAAATAAAGGAGGCAGAAACTGCTGCAGTTCACCAGCAGATGACAATGGGGTTGTCCACTGTAGAGAAGAGAAAATTTGAGCTGAAAATGCTGAGAAAGATTACCTATATAAAGTATAATATTGCTCTGAGACACAATTTCTGACGTAACAGCAAATTGAAAGTTTTCAGCGTATGTTTTCAGACTGTTACAAAGAACTGTAACAATTCTTTCAGTGTTCTCTTTACGAACTGCAGTAACGTGTAATGCTGTTTCCACTTGCGAGACTCATCTTTTCTTTAATTAATTCCTCCTGACCAAAATAATGCTACAGTTTAAGAAATCTTCAGTGAGCTTTTACGTAAACACTGGAATTACCAGTGTCAGATACTCAAACTGTCTCCAGCTTTTCATGTGAAGATTCAAACTCTCTTAGTCTTAGAAACGCAACTGTCACCGGGGACTGGCCTCCCCTTACACAGGGAGGTTACTCTGCTCTCCTTTCTTGCCATTCCGGTTATGAGACTCCTTTTGCACTTTGGTTTATTCTGGAAACTGTTGCCTTTTTTTTCTGTTGTTGTTTCCTAAGCTACAGTTTCATTCCCCACGAGAGAAACGTGTTCTTGATTCTGAAAGAGAACTTTTCTATGGAGCATTGAAGTCACAGGGGCACGGCGCTTTCACTGCAAGATAAAATATCCAGTTTCAGGTATGCTGTTGTCTCCCTGGCCAAAGAACTAGGCCAGGCTGGCTCCACGGGGTATGAACACAGCCATCCTTTTAAGGGCATTTTTCTCTCCACACAACCCAAGTAACAACAAACGTTACCTAACAGCTGTCACAGGATTTGACAGGCGCACATGATATTGCAGATAGTGTTACAGAAACACCAAGTGTTACTATAATGTACAATCCATTAAGAGTAGTCTGCTCCTGCCTGTCTTTTTTTACAGTATCGTGGTGCCCACAGGACTCTCATTTTGCAACAAATTTGTTCCTTAAACACTGAACCTCAACAGTAAAAAGAACCTTCCCCTGCTAAGCATCAAAATTTTCATTTTTTACAGAAAATATTTACATTTAGTCATTTAAAAAAAGCCACAACAAAGAAGAGACAGAATATCACACACACAACTAAGCACCACATACAAGTTCAGCCAGCAGCCCACACCTGTCTTTCTCACAGAAAGAGAGGATGGGCTCACTGATTATTCTGTGGGACAGCAAGAGTTAAAGGTATGCCCTGCTCTTAAAAGCACAATCACCTCGCAGTTTCCTTCAGAACAAGGAGCAAGAAAACAAAACACAAGTCAGCAATAGCAAACAGGGGGGTGGAGGAAGGGAAGAGGAAGGAGACTCAGATGTGACCCGTCAACACAGGTGTATCAGCCAGACACAGATGGCAAGTTTAATGCTGTTTGTAAAAACAGTTGTTTAATGAACTGATTTGCAGATAAAATGTGTATCTATAATCTGGCAATTGCCAAGATTCCGTTTTCCAAGTGGAAAAAGGGGCAGGTACTTTAATTGAGAAGTGCTTGCTGATGCTGCTTACCTCCTGCCTGCCAGTTGCTCTTCTATTACTGTGCCCATCTTCACATGCAGACAGGCTTTCCCACTGCACCTGAGGATGAGAACTGATCCTCAACTGATCCTCCTGCTACAAAGGGTCCCATGCAAACTGACACTCCAGTTCAACAGGCTGTCATCCCAAACACGGAGTTATCACATATAGAGGGGGTTGGAGAGAAGTAAGGCTCATTTCTTGGCTGAGTCCTGAGATGACTGAATTACAGCGCATTTGAACATGGATAAGAGGAGGGGAGAGTCCAGGGGATTACAAGGTGAAAATCTCTGGGAGAAGGAAGAAACTAGAGTTGTGTGTGTGTGTGTATCTCTGGATGGAAAATAAATAATGCATGAAGGCAAACTGTTTACACAATAGCACACAAACATGTATCACATAAATGCACACGCACATACACACACACTGACACATATCCCCAGGCCCCCCTCTTTCGGTGTCTGCACAAACATCTTTGGTCAAACTGTGCTCTCTGCTGACAAAATGAGTAGCACAGCACTGATTATCACTTCAGTGGATCGGTGATTTCATGATCCAAGGCAAGGATTTGGATCTAGCTTGACTATTCAAGCTGTGATTCATCCAATTGCGTCCGCCTCTATCATGCTGGTTCAGGTGTCAAAACAATTTTATTTCAGGACAATAAATTATTTTTACCTCAAATTGTATCAGAATTAAGTTGCCCTGCCATGAGGAACAGGCAGCTTCCACACAGAAATGAGGATTTTTTTAGCAGACGCGGTACTTCTCCTGTGCCTGGAGGGCTCAGGGGCTTGTACGACACCTACCTGCTGCTCCCCAACAAACCTGCACGCTGTGCAGAGGCCCACTGCTGATGGGTAAGGACTGCCACACTGCACTCAGCTTCCCTGCACTTCCCTCCCCATTTCCCTGGCAGACCACCCACCTCCTCCACAGCACACCCTGGTGCACTGCGTTCCTAACCCTTCGCTTTTCCTTCTGTGCCTTCCTTCCTCTGTAACCTTTGTTTCCCTGCAATGGATGGAGCAACCACAGCCAGGTGTGAGCAGGGACAGAGGCACCAGCAGCCCCCATGGAACACTCATGCCTGGGGCAGCATCAGGAAGACAGTTAAAACTGGGCAGTGCTGGACTTACACTGTGCACAATACCTGGTAAATTCATCTGTGGCACTCGGTGAAGATTCAGTGGTCCTGAGAACGTTATGGGTTGCCTCCAAAGAAAACCACAACCACTTATGATCTCTGTGTGTGTATATATATACATATCCACCTATCTATTATTTAAAAAAAAAAAGAAAAAAAAGAAAAAAATGTTGTTTATTAGAGTTCATCTCAACATATCTAGGACTGTACTTTGAGGAGAACAACTATCTGTGTCCTTTCCCCCAAAACAAGAAGAACAACTCCCACATGTATATGCAATAAAACTGTATTTTTGTGTGGTTTTGCCTTTTTTTTTCTTTTAATACAGACATTTGTACACTTTCTTACAAAACTGCAGGTAACTACAACTTTTCTTAAATCATTTTTGGTCGGCAGGTACTGTAAAATCTTTGTGTGCAATTATCATGTATTTACAGGGCCTCGTGTTAGTGATTTTCAATGATTATTACAATAATGTCACACACTCTCAACATAAGACATGGCTTAAGATAAATATATTAGTAAATAAATATTCTGAGAACATATTTCCATAAATGAAATGTGCTGCTATACATATACAGAATATATACAAGATGCTTTCTAGCTTTTAAAACATTTTTAAAAATGGTAATGAAGGAGAAAGAGCCCTTTGACCATATTACAAATCTTTACAGCAAATTTTATACAAAACAATTTTTTTAAGTGCTATCATTTTAATTAAAAACATTTTAAATAGTGCCTCATGAGCCAAACACAATGACAACTGTTCATGTAAGTAGTAGAAAGGCATTTTGTTATAAAAACCATCTCTCGTGGCCAGGTAGCCTGTAAGTCTGCAGGGACATACAGGTAGCAGGGACATTAAGTACACGTTGAATGTAAAACCCAGCACAGAAAGCAGGTGTAGGGTGTCTGTGGTGTGGCCTGCAGAGACTGTTTGTACTGGCAGGGATTTCCACAGCAGGGGAATGAGACCAGTACATCCAGGATCACCACGAACCAGAATGTTCGAATCTTTTTTAGAACCACATTTTACCACAACGTGCCATGTAGTTACAGAGTACAATGCATCTCAGGTGGCCTTCCACAGTGCCTCACAAAACACCAAGCAGAATAACCAAGCTAGTATACCACAGCTTCTACAATGCATTTCTTTTTTAGTGGAGGAAGGAGAGGGTAAGACTTAAAAATAAAAAAAAAGCAAAAAACCACAAACCTTTAGAGCTTATTCTCCCAGCACATACCACTTACTTCAGTCATTCAGAGAATGAATAAGTTTTTAATAAGCTTTATACACAGAAAATGTGTTTATCGATATTTTTCTTTTAATCTTATACCCAGATATTGCCTTGTATTAATTCTCTGAACAGCTGGATTTTGGTGCTTGTTGATTAGAAAGATGTAATGTGAATTTCTTTAAATATAACTTTTTTCCTACCTTATTGGGTACAGAAAGCAAAAGTAAACAGACGATTGTATTTGTTATTTCTCAGATGTTTGCTTCTTTTAAAATATGTCATTTGGGACTACAGAGAATACAAGTTAAGTTTGCTGGGTCTCACAACTAGCCCAGTGCTGTCAGGGACATTGCTTTGGCAGAATATGTAACATGAAGCGTACATCTCTATTTCACGTCTTTTAAGTATCTCCAAAGTGTACTGAAATTAGGACAAATCTTTTCAGAAGACTGGCACTGTGGGCATTAAATATTCAGTTTCCCTTTAGAAGATTTCCTGCTGTGAATACACCACAGGATGACACTGTGTCCTCAGGCACATGCAGCATGACAGGCAATTTAACCCATGCTATGGTAGCCTCTTACTCAGAAGCCGCTGTTTCCACAGGAAACAATTGCTATCAGAAGTGACGACATGTATTATCCCATGATAACAAACGTCCCCACTGGTACAAGAACAAGAACAAAAGTATGTGCCCAGGCTAATGGGGTACAGAGAGCATTCTGTACACAAGACAAAAATGAAGCACAGCTGGCTGGGCCCAAGAAACCTTTCCAACAGATCAGTCTATGGAAGCTACATCAACCACAGCAAAGAAGAAAACAATGATTAAACCAAGTTCCTCACTTTCCCTCATGAACAAACAGTGGCGAGCACTGCTTCCCTTAGGCACACTTGCAGCCCATAAGGAAACAAGAAACCCTCTGACCTGTTTCCAAAACGAGCCAGCAAAGCTGCAAGCACACTGCAAGCTCTGTTTTCACTGCACTTGCCAGCATTCCTCACAGCCGTAACAGGGGCTACAAGTGCCTGAAAAACTTCCTATGGAAGGAAAGGTTCATTACCTACAAAGGTAATACCCTTTCTAAGCCCTTCGTTCTAGCATCTGCTTGAGGGAGAGGTCCCCAGTAATTCTTCACCAGTCAGAGGATACAATGAGGTCCATGGTTTAAATACAGGAAGTGAGGATGAGAACATTCTGAGCTACCAGTTCCCTACCCCCACTGTGTTGAAACTAATCATAACGGCAGGAGACCCTTCTTAGCCAAACCATCAGAGCAGCATTAAGGGGGGAGGAGGGGAGAGGAGAAAGGAGACAGTCCAATGCTTCAACTCCCTCAAAATCGCTCACATAACTTGCTGGCTGCTAGGATTTGCTACTGGGATTAGTCAGTATCTGAGCATCCGTTCAGCAGCTGTATCCCTCCAGACTACTATATTTCAAGGTGCTATCTGGTTTCTAAGGCAGGTGTAGCCCTGAGCTTATCAAAGGCTGGACTCCTTTAAGTAGGAGCTAACAGCATCTACACATAGCCTGGCTTATTTAACACACTGTGTTACCTCTCAGCAAGAGGTCACTTCTAAAAAGAAAATATAAATAACACTTTGTCATTAATATAGAAATGGCACTAGAGCTCAGAAATGCTCCACACCATGTCCCACATGGGCTTTGCACACAAATCGAGGCCTGAAGGCTTCAGGCAGGAGGGACAAAGGAGACAATCAAGCTGATGTGAACACAGAGGAAGTAGGGGAGGGACTTCTCCACATTACCACTTTTGTGTGTTTGTCAAAGCTTAAAAAAAAATTAAGTCCATGAGAATTTGGAGTTTCTGATAAGCTCCGCTTCTCCATCTGGGATCATCTGGACAGGTCTAGTCACTGATTTGGCTTCTCTCCAAGGGATGAGATCCAGCACCTGAAGGATAAAGAAAACTAAGGAACATTGCATCTAGAATATTACATACAGTTTCAGGACCCCCAGAACAAGACACTGACTGACTGGAGTGAGTTCAGCAGAGAGCCAAGATGCTCAGAGGGCTCTCCCTGTGTGAAGAGGCTGGGGGATTTGGGCTGTTCAGCCTGCAGAAAAGGAGGCTTCAGGGGCACCCCTAGAAGCTCTGCAATACCTGCGTGGAGGTTGTCACAACAATGGAACCACAGTCTTCACAGACATGCATTCTGGACAAGAGGTAAGGAGCTTAAGTTGAAGCATGAGATGTTCAGACTGGATATAAGGAAAATCTTTTCACCATGTTGGCAGTCAAGCACAGGAACAAGAGCCCAGGACGGGAGTGCACTCTGTGTCCCTAGGGGTTGTCAAAACCTGGCTGGATAAACTAAGTCTAACCTAACAAACTTGATCTGATTTCAGAGCTGGCTCTGCTCTGAGCAGGTTGGAGTAGATGATGGCCTGAGGTCCCTTCCAGCCTAGGGTATCCTGTGATTCTATGAACTCCCTTAAAACAGCCCTGGCAAAGCAGGTAAGGAATATCCCCTTCCTTCTGTGAGTGATTATTTTTTCCCCTTGTTTATGTCCACAGCAGAGACTTTCCCACATATTCTTCTACAGCAATTTCAAGATTTTCACTTTTCCTTTTTTTTTTTTTTTTTTTAACCTTCAGCTTGTCTGTCCTCTCTCAGCACTGTGGCCTTGCCTCCTTAAGCAACTCACCACAGCTGTCCCTGGCTGTGGGAACTCTAAGGGGGGCCTGGTACTGGCAGTCACTTTTGCTCCTCCCCACAAAGGATGAGTACAAAAGCTTTTATAGGGTTAGATAGTAAACTACTCCTCTGTTCCTCCAGCTATGCCCAAATGAGCACAGGTAACAAGAGAACAGCACTTTGGGGCAAAGGGTTAGTTGATAACCTGCTCTAATGCAAAGGATGGAGGCACCTTTATGGCTGCAGGTACCTAAGCAGCCGACAGCATTTCATACGCTAAGAAAGGGAGCAAGTAATCAAAAAAAGCACACGCATTACCTGTGACCTTTGTGGTTGTCATAAGCTTCTGGGAGTTCAGAGTGGGACTGGGAAAGAGCATTCCAGCTTCCTCCTCCTGAGAGTAGTTCTGCCGCAGGAATGACGTTGCCTCATAGCACACCTCCCTCTCGGCCTGTACCTCTCCAGTACCTTGACAGTGCAGGTAAGTATCCAGCTCAGGTGTTCCATCCCAGGAACTACAGCTTCCTGTGTGGGTCCCTTGGTGCTCTGTTGGTAGAATCAGCTCGCAGTCTCTGTCTTCAGGAATTATGGGAATGCGTTGACCCAGATCACATACACCCTTACAGCAGTTTGGCAAGGTGTCCTCAGGAACCGTGTACTGCACATTCACTGCATAGTCTTCTGTATAGCAGCCACCACCTCCACTGCCACTGTTGCTACTACAGGCTACCTGCTTCTCTTCATAGAAGCAGCAGGGCAACCCCTCATATTTTACCCCATCTGTCCTATGTAAGTGGTCTGAGTTAATACTGTACAAGCCTGGGGTGTTCCCTGACTGTGGTTCAATTCCTTGGCCACATGTCCCCCACAGCGGAGAGCTAAGGAAGAGTGCACTACAGTCAGCTGTCCCATTGCTAGGCTCCAGGGCAGAGTGCTGGAATTCAAAGCAGCATGCGCATGCTTGCTCCGAAATCGACCCTGCTATCTCTGGATTCTTCCAGTTCCTTTTAACATCCAAGGCAGCACCAGGAGTGGCCTCAGGTCCTCCCTCTGAGGTAGTGCCATTTGGATCCCTGTGCTCTAGTGAGGAATTACTGCTATAGTTCATATCCATGCTGCAATTAGACAGTTGGTCCCCTGAGGAAGAAGCTGGCACAAGCCGGCAGTCAGCACCCACCACACTGTGACCGTGAGCTGGAAGCTCGTCCTGGTGGGGGCCCTCCAAGAGAACGATTGCACCCCTGTTTGCACCACCGACCTCACCCACTCGGCAAGGGCTCTTACTGCGGTAAACATATGGGTCATAGTCACTGCTCAAAGAGCTGCGGAAGGTGGAGCAGCTCCCATAAACCCCCTGGTTGCTGACCTCAGTGCAGTCAACCATGGAATCGCTAGAGGAGCAGTGGCACTGACCAGAACTGCTGCTGCTGCTGTCACTCCCAGGGCAGTCAGCCAAATATCCACTGCACACTGAACGGTGACCATGATAGCAGCTAAAGCTGGAGGTACTGCCGCTCTCCAAGCGAGATGAGGGCATCACATGTACCACGGGAGGGAAAAGCATGCTGCTACCAGGCTGAAAGGCACGGGAAGGACCCTTTGAGGAAATGCCAGCTGGAAGCTGTCCATCTTGCTCAGGGTAACTAAGGCCTTGGAAGTAGTAGTGCTGATACATGGTCTCATATCGAGAAAAGCACGCTGCTTTGGAAAAGTTGCGTCCCCCAAATTTGGGTCTTCGGAAGTTGTGGGCTGGAGAGTAAGCCCTGTGTTCCAGGCTACAGTGATGTGTGTTTAAAGCATGATCCAAATGAATAGGCTGGTAACTCTGAATGTAGGCTGGGGACGGGGCTTGGTAGAGGCTCTGTTCACCGTGCCGCTCGACTGTAAGTACTGTGATGGGGTTCCCGTGGGGGTCCATGCTCGTCCGAGTGGGATACGCCGTTATCTGGTTTGCTCTGTGCACTCGGCCTGGGTAATGGACAGGCAGGATCACCCTCTGCTGCCGGCTGCGTGCTGGGTTGACGGACTCTAGACAGATTGGACCCGCATTTCCTTTCTTCTGTTCTGAATGAGAGAAATAAGAATGGAGAAGTAGAACTAGCAGGGAATAAAAAGGAATACACTTCATGCAAGGAAGTGGGATATTTTGTTCTGAGTGTTGTTACGTTACGCACCAATTTTTTACGCAGAAGGAAAAATAACAAAACAGAAAAAGTAAGTCAAGAGCATCTGCCTGGAAGCCTCTGATACACTCAAATGTATTTGCTTAAAAAGGAAGAGGAGCGAACTTATTTCAGGTACTGCTCTCATATATACAAAACCTGCTACTTACACAGTATTCTTGAACTGGCAGAGGCTGAGCGAGGCTGGAAGTCATCACTCAAGTTTTCGCTTTACACATCATTTTACATAAATGCGTACTAACAGAAAACTTTCTTAAGACAGAGGAAATGAAAGGGGGAGAGGGCAAGTAAGGGAAACCATACCCGAAGTTACAACACCATGGAAAAATAAACGCCCGCACATTTGTCTTCTTTACAATTCCCAAGGGAAAATGTATCCGTCTGCTCCACGTGTCCCCATGCTCAGG